GGGGCAGGATGCTGGCGTGTTTTTTTCTTAGAGAGCGGTGCACTCTTTTTTTCACTTCGTTCGGCCAGCACTAACATAACTTCAGCCTGAAAGGGAGATGAACTCAAATCAGCTGTGGTGTGCTAGAATATTATTTGCACATATGATAATCACGTGGCCTCTGTTTTGTTTCTTACATTTAAAAAATAAAGGCGTAGTTGTACGTGAAGCTCGCTACGCCGGTGGTATGTCTCGCATATAGTCAAGTCAGTAAACTTATTAGTAGGAGAAAACCAAATTATTGGCACATTGTTTCAGCATGTGTTCTGTAAGAATAGGTCACAAACAGTGTATTTTTTTCTCGTTTGGAAATTTTTTTAGATTTCTGACAATTTATATCAGCATTGCTATGGAGGATTTCAACTGAAAACTGCTTTTTACGAACCACTACGTTAAAGGTAGGTTCTGTTATAAGCTGCGGCCCAATAAATTGGCAGGAGCCAGTTCAATTAGGAAATTTATTGATTGAGCAAGGCTTCAGCAAGCAAAACAGCGCTGGGCGGCCGGGGAGTCTCTGCTCCGCCAACGGCGCACACCCCTTCCCCAAAGTTCCCGGTTTTATACTCTTCTATTTCCCGCTCCGTGTAGCTCTTCCGGTGTACTCTGCGCCTGCGCGAGCTGTTGCTAGGGACGCTGTTCCCGTTGGTGCTAGGGACGCTGTTTCCCGTTGGTGCTGGGGAGTCTTGTTCCCGCCTCCTTGTGATCGGAGGGCTGGAGATTCCCATCTCGATGCCTTCGTGTGTAGGTTCCTCGACCTGTTGTACACTTTTTGACTTTTTTTTTTTTTTTACCTATATTTTCTACAGTTAGACCTTTTTACATATACTGCTTAACTTGCAGTATTCTTTGTGTTAATAAGCTAAAGCAATCCTAAGGTTAGTGTTCTACACATCTGGCAAGGTAAGGTAACATCCTGCTGTGAGCTTCTACCTTGACTTGTTTCACTTCATCAGGTTCTTAATTGCCTTTTGGATCTTACTTTGTTTG